CATTTTTTTCTAAAATCCTTCAAGTTCACAGAAAGTCTTCAGCTTAGATATAATGCAGCAGTTCTCCGCTTTTAGACAATTTAGTATAAATCTTTGGGATAGTTTTTTATCTTTTCATTTTTATCTTTTCATTTCATGTAAATAAATTATAATAAAGTATATTTAAATAATATAATTTAAAAAAAACAAAACTTTATCAATGTTCGAGTGTTGTTCCATTTTATTAAATCATATGTTGATATGTTGATATTTGAGCATGGTTATTACATTATTACAATTAAATCATGCTGTTGTCATGGAAACAATTTTGTGGGAAAAAATAATAATAATAAAATATTAAACTAAAAATAAGCACTCTTTAGTTTTTTAACACCTTTTTTTTTTAATATTCAAAATACTAAATGGAAAAAGTGCCTATTTTTTATATTGTCATTGTGAGAATATACTTAAAAAAAAATTATTTCAATAATGTCTAAGGGTGCAATGGAGGTCACATGGAGTCAAAAAATATCAAAAAGGGTACCAAAAAGTAGTTTGAAGCCGTGTGCCATCCTTAAATATTTTAAAATTAAAAAGAAAAATCATGTATATAAAACAAGGGTCTGTGCACCATAGAAGCTTTCACTCTAGTCTGAAATATTTGTACTACCAATGCTTTTACATGCTCTACCTATTTGTAAGTTGATGTAGCAACACTTTTGTATGTTTTACCTATTTTTCAGTTGTTGTAACAACACTTGTATGTTTTAACTATTGGTCAATCCATGTATGTAAACAATTAAAAAATAAAAGCATTCTGTATGTTTTTAAAAACATTCTAGTTTATTAATTCCACTTTTGCCGTATTTTAAAAAAGTGATAAAGTTTAATTAGTTTCCTCAATTAAATTTAATGGTTTCTATATAAACTGTACTTAAATTATCTCATATAAAGACAAAGAGTTATTTAGAGCTGTTTTTTACTGCAAACAGTAAGTTTAGATGTCAAACTATAGGAATATATATATATATATATATATATATTATATATATATATATATATATATATATATATATATATATATATATATATATATATATATATACATATATATATATCTATATATATATATCTATATATATATATATATATATATATATATATATATATATATATATATATATATATATATATATATATATGTATATATATATATATATATATATATATATATATATATATATATATATATATATATATATATATATATATATATATATATACATATATATATATCTATATATATATATCTATATATATATATCTATATATATATATATATATATATATATATATATATATATATATATATATATATATATATATATATATATATATATATATATATATATATATATATATGTATATATATATATATATATATATATATATATATATATATAGTGTATTCTGCAAAAAAAAAAAAGCTCAATGTTCTTAAAGAACAGATCAGTAATAAGTTTGTACAAAAACACTTATCTAATTTTTTCTTCTACTGATTTTTTTTTCCTGATAACTGTGCTGTTGCTGCCTAACTGAATTTACAACATTCTTATAAAACATGTTCTAAAGACTATTTAAATAAGAACTGTTACAAGTATGCCAGTCAAATTTTTGTAAATTTTTAGTTGAAAAGTATTTGAGATAAAGTAGTTTTGTATTTAAATTTAGTTTGTTAATATTATTTTTCATTTAACAATTTTGTTGGTTGAATTCTCACACATGCAATTTGCAGAGAGTTTTCAAATGATTAAGAATCTTTGTGAATTTTTAAAAGATTTGGTGTGTTTATGTTAATCAGAATTTATTCAGGCTTTATTTAACACCAAAAATTATCAAAATAATTTTTTTTCATCTTTTAACTTTTTTGAGTCATTCCTTTTTGCTATTAAAGGGTGTTGGAGCGCCTGTTGCTAACTGCTGTAAAATATTATTTAATATGGCTAAAATTAAAATTTTATCATAAGTTAGAATTAAATTTTTAATTGAGATTCACAATAAATTTATTAAATGAACTGCAAACTTAAATACACTTAGATGGTATATACTTATTTAAAAAAATTATATAAATCTTTTTTTTGAAATCAGGAATTTATAATAATGCACAATAATTCTTAATTACAGATATTAAAACATTTAATTAAAAAATAGATGAAAAAGCATAACTTTTGTTTTTAAATTTTCAACATTTATAAAATTTGACATTTAAAAAATGGTTTCATGGTTTTGAACTTGATGTTTTAATAAATGCAATATATATACTAATAGAGACAACATTTACACTTTACATGCTAGAAAACATTTACACTGAACATACTAGAAAACATTAACACTTTACATACTAAAAAAAATTTACACTTTACATACTAGAAAACATTTACCCTTGACATACC